AACTGAAATATGTCAATTGGTATACCATCTATTCCAGGAGCCTTATTTTTTGCCATGTCCTTCAAAGCAGCCTGAACTTCTTCTTTCATCACCATCTATATTAGTTCTTCTCTGTTCATGTTATTATCTGATTTCTGTGTCCTAAGTGAATCCATCGATAGATTTTGGCTCAGAGTGATATGGACAATTTTTGGAAGCTTTTGATCACAAATAAATATCTCTGTGTATTTTCACTCAATCACAATACAAGTCATAGTTCTTACTGTGGATCACAGTAAAAAGAATTTTAAAAGATTCTCTCTTTGACAATTTCATCTTTTCGTATGGCTTCAATTACCTCCTAAACAATGGTTATGACTCCAATCCAACTGGCTGCTAAAAAGTTTTGTTTAGATAGTTTAAAGAAAATCCAAACAAAATACTCAAAATTGAATGTATGAACTATAGACATCTGTTTCCAATTTGATAGCTCAACTAGTCAAAGAACTATCAGCTGTCACCAAGACTAACAGTGCCTCCTAAACCAACTATATCAACTTTTTTCTTTAATAATTTTCAAAATTATCTTCTAAAAAAACACAAATATAATTAGTCCCTCACTCCAAGCTTGAATTTTATTCCTCTAAATAAATGACAGTTTTTTAAACAGTCTAGTAAGATAAATGTTTTCTAATTTTATTCCATGCTTCTTATTCCTGTAACTCTGTCCCAGTTAGAGATACAGCTCTTTTTTTTTTTAATTATTGAAATTTCTTTATTCATTCTAATCTTTTTTTTTAATTGGGAAAAACATATTGGGGGTACAAGGAGGTGAGGGTTGGGGGCAGAAGGGTGAGGATGGGCCAGGATGCAGTTGCAGAGCTGCACAGCTTGGTTGGTGGGGGGAGCAAGTGAAGGAAATGATGAGGGTCCAGAGGGGACCAGATACTACAAAGGAATGACAAGCATTTTCCAATGGTAATTAAACCAACTGTCTTATTAATTTGGGAATTGGATGCCGACTCTCTGGCTTCTTCATGCTGAACAGGGGCATAGATGTAAAGGTATAGTTACAGCTCTTAATGTTCATTATACTTACTAACAACACAGGGATTTTCACAAATGCTGTTCCCATGCCTAGAATGCATTTCTTTTTTTAAGTCAAAGTAATTTTTCAGCTTTTAGCTCAAGCATTAATTATCTAACCACTCTAATTAAGATAAACTATTTTAAGGTGTAAGGAGTTGTGCTTCCAATGCAAAGGGATGGCGTTTGAATCCACCAGATCATCCTCAGGAGAAAGATGGGTAATTTCCTCCCATACAGCTTACTAACTCTGAAAATGCTCTGGAGGGTCAGTTCTACCTTGATGGTGCACAAGAACAATTTTAGGTTCTAGTGCTCTAGTCCAGAGAAAGTTGTGCTGCTAACCCAAAGGCCACTGCCCTCCAGAGGTTCAAATTCACCAAGAGCTCCACAGGAGAAAAATCTCCTCCCTGGATATTTACAGCCTCCGGAACCTGCTGGACAGTTGACTGTAAGTCAGTACTGACTCGACGGCAACAACTGAGTCGTTTTTAATCCTTATTAGCACATATACAAGTACTTAAAAATTACAGGGTTTTTTTTCCCCCAGTTCTTTCTGTGATTATGTGATAAAATCCTATCCTTTTCATTAGACTGTAGGCTCTATGAGGGCAAAGACCAAATCCTTGATTCATTGTTGATATGTGCCAACCTGAGTCAACTCATAGCGACTCTATGAACAACAAATCTGAATCCTGTCCTATTCTGCACCATCCTCATCACCTCTGATATACGTGAGCTCACTCCTATAGTCACTATGTCAATTCCTCTCATTGAGGGTCAGAAAGTGCTGAATATCCCATGAACCAAATAACAAATAGATATGTCTTAGAGAAGGTGTAGTCAGAGTGCTCCTAGACAGAAGCAAGGATGGTGGAACTTTGTCTCACATACTTTGTGCACGCTGCTACCAGGGACTATTCCTTGGAAAGGAATATCATGCTAGGAAATGTGAAAGGTCAATGAAAGAGAAGAAGACCTTGATAAATACAGCACAGTGACTGTAATCAATAAGTAGTTACTCAATGAACCTATCAGAAGACTCTAATGCAATTCCACTAGGCAGCCACTAGAAGGCACCTTTGCTTTATTTGTCCTGGAGTAGTTATCACCATTTTAAAAAAAGATTAAAAACCAAACACACTCCCAATTTATGATGATCCTTCCTTGAGAGTTCAAGGCTGTAAATCTTAATGCAACAGAAAGCCTTTTTTCTCACGAAAAGTAAGTAGGACAATTCAAGCTACTGACCTTTTACTGTCAGTGCCTAACTGGTGCCAGCTTTAATAAGAAAACTTCTTTCCCATATGTTTTACAAGAGTGGTGGGTAATAATCCCAATCTTGGCTAAGTGATGCCTTATAAAAGGAAACAGACACACACAGAAGGACATCATGTGAAGATGTGTCAACAGTCTAAGAACTCAAGAAGTATCAAAGTCTCATAAGTTTGAAGAGAAAAGGAAAGATCTTCCCCTACAACCAGTCAACAGAGGGAAAGCAAGAGACAGAAGATAGCATAGCCTGCCTGAAATGTAAACCAAATTATGTTACTCTGTAACTCGGTGTCTTTCAATGATGCACACTCCCTCAGATTATAATGCAAATCCCTCGCCATGTTGTAGGCATTTAACTCACCAACCAAAGCCACATTGGCCTTCTGATAATCCTTAAAACATGCCAAGCTCTGTTTCACCTCAGCATACATGCCTGGAATATTCTTCCACAGGATCTTCATAAAAATTAAGCTTTTTGACCTTCAAATCTCAACTAACAGAATCACTTTATGAGTGAAGCACTTCCATCACACTCTCTAAAAGAGTTCTAAATTATTGCTTATTATAGCATAACCTGCAATTATTCATTTATAAGCTTCCTCCTTTATTATCTGTCTCTTTAAAAACTACATAGTCTTGCTCCATGGGGACAGAGAGAATATCTGTATAACAACTCAATAGTCTAACATAAAAAGCCTGGCACCAAGTTAGTACTCAAGTGTCTGTTGAAGGAAAAAAGAAAAGCAATAAATTGATGTGTTCAGACAGAAATTCTCCTGACCTAGCACAAAAAAGATTGTATCTATAGTTAATTCTTCTTGGCTTCTGTCCAAAAACAAGTGACCAGAAAATAACTTTTACTTTGTCATGGACAATTTATTTTGCTAGCTAAAGACAAACAGCTTTGAAAGTTCTTTGAGGAACTACAACAGGTTGAAATAAAGACACTTAAGGGCAGCATCAAGCCTGGACATACACATACTTTCCTAAGTACAGATGCTAGTTAGCTAAACAATGACTATCACTCATGATTAAGGAGCAACTGGCTGACTCCAATACCTTAACCTTCCCCTCAATGAAGTTTTATTATATTTAGTATCTTATTTTTGACCCAAAAGCGGGTGTACTTGAGCCTTTGCCTAGGGTGGAGGTCTGCTCAAAGGTATGGCTTCAAAATCCCACAGGTGGAAAGGATGGGACTACAGGCTGCAGTCTGGAGCCTCCCACTCTGGGAGTCTGGCTGCTAGCTAGCATCTTGATGTGATACAGCAATCTTTTATCTATTTGCTGAACTGAACAACTTACTGTTACTGTGATGCTGCACACTGTTCCACAGTCTTGTCAAATACCATAATGGTTACCCATTATGTACAATGTTTGGATGACTTTCCAGATTTATTTACACTGGGAAGCAGGAGTGGCATCCACTCTTTAAACTCTACAAACTCTCTCAACTCTATAAATGTACAGAAATATTAGTTATAGAGCAGAGTTCAGATCTTTTGTGCAAAGCTTATCTAAGTCATATTCGACTTGACAACACTTAACCACTGCGAAACGAAACTAGTGCTATTATATCTGGAGGAACATTCTTCTACTTTGTACATCACTCTTTTGTCAATGTACAGTATGAAGTAACCTGGGTTTGCTGTGATGCTGAACCTTGTACCACTGGAGTATCAAATACCAGAACGATTTCCCAATGTGGACAGTGCTTGGTGGAGCTCCCAGTTGTAAAAAAGGTTTGGAAGCAGCAGTGGCATCCACTTCCTAAACTATATGCCTCTGGAAATTCTATGAACTTGGAGAAATGACAATAATTATAGAAAGGCATTAGGTCTTTTGTTCATAGAATCACTATGAGTTGCACTCCACTCTAGGGCAATTAACAACAACAACAACATTTTTGCCCCATCATGTACCATGTAAGGACTAACTTTCTAGTTTCCTCTCTCATGTTACCATTTTCTATTGTAATAAATTCACTATAATTTCACCAACTATTAGTCCTTCTTACCAAGTGCTCTTGCTACAGCCAGAAAAGGAATCTGGTCAATAACTGTGCTTCTTCGTACAGGTCCGTTGTGAGTGAGTCGAGGTCGTTTCCAAACTACACGATTTACTCCAGACTTATTCATAACACTAAAAAAATAAGTGACAGACAGAGCTCATATCATTATGCTAAATGATTAAAATATAACTTAATCTGTTAAACAGCTAACAACCTAGCAATATATTATGACAAAATAAATGACTTATCTGCTTGATATATAAAGATGTGTAATAAAAAATTTCTATTGAGGAAGGACAAAATAAAGTTCATTAAAGGAGCGAATAAAAGATTACTATAATAAGTTAGACAAAACAAAGTGGAAAGGGGGAAAAGCAGATACCATATCAATAGTATAAAAAAACTTAAATAAAAACAAAACAACTATAGAGAGAAAGGTTAAATAACACAATTATGTAGTTTTGAGGTTTTGTTTTGTTTTTTGTTGAAGGAGTGTACTATACAAACTAACATTTCATTTTTAATATTTCTGGTTGAGAATTCCATATAAAATACCACAACAGGGATATCTATGTATTTAGATATTTCCACAGTTAAAATTAGAAATTAATTTTTTTTGGAAGCAGAGTAGCTATAGTCTGGGAAGTTACAGAATAATAAATCTATTAAAGACAAAAAATTTCTTCTTTACTACATTTCTAGATTAAGAAGGTAGAATTAACACTTAGGGTTTAAAAGAAACTGAATCAACAAAGAGGAAAAAAAGGTGGCAAAAGGAAGAAAAGAAGAAAGTATCAAGCAAAAGACAAGGAAAGGGGGGAGGGGGGGGGCTCTGGTGGCCTAGTGGCAAGAAGCTGCACTGCAATCCCAGAGGCACACAGTTTGAATCCACCAGATGCTCTGCCGGGGAAGGAGGGACAATCTCCTCCAGTACAAGTCAGATCAAATTTGACAGTACACACACTAAAATAATAATAAAATAAATATTTTTTTTAAAAAAGACAAGGAAAGGGCATTTTTAAAATCATCTCCATCGAAAACAAGACAAAGGAAAAGTCCACTGAATATGTTAATCTAGTATTATCTATTATTATTACCTTCAAGATTAAGCCTAGTAGAGGCAAAACCAAAAGCAGAACCTCAGGTTAGAGACTAATGTAATATCTACCAAGTTCAAACCTACCTAGAAATTTGGGACAAGGAGTAACAAAAACAAATAATAAGTACACAGAAAAGTCAGTACACTTGAAAATATGGTTAACCCTCTGGCAAAATAAGTTACAATACAGAACAGAGATGGTATCTCAACCTTTGCTTCTTGTTGTCAGTTGCCATCCAGGCCATTCCTACTTACACTGGCTCCATGTGGGTCAGAAAAAACTGCAGAGTTTCAAGGTTGTAACCTTTTAAAAGCAGCCTTCTAGACCTGTCATTTGAGGAACTGCTAAGTAAGTTTTTAAAAAAGAGCAAGGGTCGAGTAGGGATGACCATATCTGATCTTTACCAGCTCCACAATGGCGAACTGTCGAACTGTACTCGTTAACAACATCAACACAAAACCAATTCCCATGAGGTCAGACAGGTCCCTCACGTTCCCACATCTCTCTCTGTTCATTCCAACACCAATCTTTCCCCCCACCCCCAACACCAATCAATCTTAAAACTCTACAAGTCCAAAATTCAATGCAACAGATCACAGGCCACATAGAACCAAATCAAGGAAGTCAAATGGCCGGAATTCAGGTTTACAGTAAGCGAAATTACTGAGTCAAGAGAGCTTCAAAAATGTACTCACAGGAGCCTCAGCCTTGAGCCTCACAACTTCAGACAAGTGTTACAAAGCTCTCAAATCCTGCCAATTAATGCTCCCCCCTCTGCCCCAGGTGTCCAACAAACTTGGGTAAAGGCTCCTAGTTCTGGTTCCACAGGGCAGGAGTCTCAAGGTCAGCTCCCTCTCACATCAGCTCTCTGGTTCTCTGATGCAACTGCTATGGCTGTTGCTCCCATAGGCTCAAATCCAACTAGGGCAAGAATCTCTGGTCCCAAAGGATGCATTGCTTTCTCCTGCTTCTTCTTTGCTATTGGAGAGGTTCTCCAATTCTGCTAATGCATGCATTCAATTTAATAGCATGACTAAAATGGGATGAATGGGAAATAAAACTAACTCTTCTTAAAAATAATCTAGCTAAATCCAAAGCTGATACTGAGGTGCTCCTTGAAGGTAAGGATGGTCAAACTGTCTCACATGTACTTTGGGCATGTTGTAAGGAGGAGCCACCAGTCCTTGAAGACATCATGCTTGGAAAGGTGCAGGAATTGACACAGTGTTCAGGTGTGTTAAGGTGAGGATGGCACAGAACTGAGTAGGGTTAAGACCTGTTGTTCATAGGGGTGCTATGAGTTGTAGCTGAATCAATGGCACTTAACAACAGCTAAAACACAAAGAAAGCAAGAATAAAAGGGCAATAGGAGTATGTTCCTCAAATGACTGGGAAAAAAGTAGAGAAAAGAGTGGCAAGAGACAGTATTATCCTTCCTGACATTAAGTTCACCTAAAAGAGTGGTGTAGTAAGTATACAACATGCTGGGCTGCAAACAATGAGTTCAGCAGTTCAAATCCACCAGCTGCTATATGGGAGAAAGATGGGAAGTATCATTCCTTAAAAAATTTACAATCTACTCTTTCAGAGACGCTGTATAGAGGCTTTCAAAATGATCCAGAATCTGACCTACTGTCACAGGCTATCAGACAGTGCAGCCTCTAACAAAACTAAGCTGTCCTTAACCACTAGAAATAGATTTTTTTTACCTTTACACCAGGCATATGTCCTTTTGCCATAACTTTTCAACCTGTATGCAGAACAGATTATCCAAGAAGCTGGGCTTTATGAGGAAAAGTGTGGCATCAAGATTGGTGGAAGATCTATCAACAATCTGTGTTATGCAGATGACACAACCCTACTTGCTGAAATTGGCAGCATCAGGATGGATGGTGAAGAGATTGAGATTGTTCACAGCTTTAGTTTGCTTGGCTCCACAGTCAACACTCTTGGCACCAGTAGCCAGGAAATTAAAAGGTGCACTGCCATGGGAAAGTCTGCTGTTAGGGACCTCTCCAAAGTACATAGGCTGTTGTACATAGGGCCGCTATGAGTCACAAGCGACTCAATGGCACATAACAACAACATGTAAAAGAAGACAGCCTCAATCTTTTTCGAAAGTAGAAGAAATAAAATTCATGACTGTTCTGACAAATATAATATATATAGTTTGCTTGGCTCCACAGTCAACACTCTTGGCACCAGTAGCCAGGAAATTAAAAGGCTCACTGCCATGGGAAAGTCTGCTGTTAGGGACGTCTCCAGGGTACTGAAGAGCAATAGTGTCACTCTGGCGACTAAGGTGCTTCTGATACACGCAATCACTTGTTATGCATCAGAGGGTTGAACAATGACTAGGGAAGATAGGAGAATTGATACCTTTGAGCTGTGGTGCTGGAGAAGAGTATTGAGAGTACTATGGACTGCTAGGAAAACACACAGATTCGTCCTGGAAAGGGTTAAACCAGGCTGTTCCTTGAAGGCAAGGATACTGGGCTTCATCTGACATACTTTGGACATGGTATGAGGAAGGACCGTTCCTTGGAGAGGGACATCATGCTTGGGAGGGTAGAGGGACAGCGCAGGAGGGGAAGAACCTCTATGAGGTGGATTGATTCAGTGACTGGGGTAATCGGGATGGGTGTGTCAGAGGCAGTGCAATTGGCACAGAACAGAGCAGGGTTTAGGGCTGTTGTACATAGGGTTGCTATGAGTCGAAAGCAACTCGATGGCACATAACAACAACAACAACATGTAAAAGAAGAAAACAACCTCAATCTTTTTCTAAAGTAGAAGAAATAAAATTCATGACTGTTCTGACAAATATAATTTTCTGCAGTGACAGACATGTTAATTCTGTATTATCTGATATGGTGGCCACTAGCCACAGGACATCATTTGGAAGAAAAAAATATGGCTACTGTGAATGAGACACTGAATTTTTAAAATTTATTTCATTTTAATATATGTTTGAGTTTAAACATTCAAGTATTTAATGAACACAGTAGCACAAGGGAGGGCTGAAGCAAGTACATGATAATCAGAAAATGTTATGTTAATATAAACCAGAAATTCAAAAGTGTCACTAATTTTACCATCCCTTTTAAAAATGAGTTAACTTCTCAATTCTGAAAGCAACACTGTTCTAGGTCACAGCAGGAATGAGAACCTAACAGGTAGTCATTTTGTTATACAATGTTTTCTTCAGTACTGATCTTCAAAAGCAAACAACAAAGTGAAGACTGGTTGCCTCTCCCATGCATCTATGTCACCCCTCTGCAACAAGAAATATACAGAAATAAAATGCACTGCAATCCCAGAAATGCACGGTTCAAATCCACCAGATGCTCTGCTGAAGAAGGAGGAACAGCCGCCTCCTGCACCAGTCAGATCCAATTTGACGGTACACCCATAAAAAAAAAAAAAGAAATATACAGAAATGTCTTTATAGTACCAAGTGCTCTACTGTTCCTTCCTAAACCTTCACACCAATAAAGTAAGGTTCAACACTTAAGCAGTAACAGTATACTTAAGCCTCCAATATAACTATTCTGAAATTCTCTTGAAAAATATCTAAGACTATCATGTCCTGTCTCTGAAAAACAAAAGTTAAAAAAAAAAAAAGGATTCTAGTTAAAATATTTTCAAACCAGTGTCAAAAACCCAGGATAACCCTCTAAGAAACAGTTTTCTGTACTCCCTACTGTTGTCCTGTGTGATTAAAAAGGCATGTAGAAAGGAACCAGCTGATACACAGATAACTGACTGAGCAGCAACAGAAGCTAGAAAAATAGAACTTTGGCCAGTTGCCTGGGGGAGAAGAGGAAAGAAGGAAATAACATATAATAAAACAGTTCAACTTGTGCAAAAGACACCTGTTCCCAAATGGCAAAGAGCACCTGTCCAAATGTTCAGGTGGTATTTCAAGGGATAAGGCAAAATAAAAGTACTCTATATAAAAAAAAAAAAAAAGATTAAAATTGAGTATCTTTTCATCAAAGAAATTAAGTTTTAAATTACAAGTAGAAAATAAATAAGGACATCTAGAGGGGGGGAAAGAGAAATGAACAGAAGAAAACTAATGAGAAAAGATTGTGTTGTTGTTGTTATGTGCTGTCGAGTCGCTTGCAACTTATAGCAACCCTAACTCTGCTCTATCCTGTGCCAATCGCACTGCCTCTGACATACCCATCCCGATTACCCCAGTCACTGAATCAGTCCACCTCATAGAGGGCCTTCCCCTCCTGCGCTGTCCCTCCATCCTCCCAAGCATTATGTCCGTCTCCAAGGACCTGTCCCTCCTTACAACAGGTCCAAAGTATGTTTCACGGAGCCTCAGAATCCTTGCCTCCAAGGAGCCGCTCAGTTTGACCCTTTTCAGGATGAATCTGTTTGTTTTCCTAGCAGTCCATGGTAATCTCAATACTCTTCTCCAGCACCACAGCTCACAGGCATCCATTCTCCTTCTATCCTCCTAAGTCATTGTCCAACTCTCTGATGCATAACTAGTGATTGCAAAGACCATGGCCTGTATCAAATGCACCTTAGTCTCCAGAGAGACACCATTGCTCTTCAGTACTCTGGAGAAGTTCCTAACAGCAGACTTTCCCATGGCAATGAGCCTTTTAATTTCCTGGCTACTGGTGCCAAGAGTGTTGACTGTGGAGCCAAGCAAACTATAGCTGTGTACAATCTCAATCTCTTCACCATCCATCCTGAT